CCCCGCGCCGCCGCCCAGTCCGCAGATCCGCGCCACCGCGGCCAGTCTCACCTGGCGGCGCCGCCCGCCCGCCAACCCGGCCACAGCCCCAGCGTCCACGGCGACAGCCGCGGCGACCGCGACAGTGGTGGAGGACGCTGCTGAGTCGAAGAGAGCGCAGCTCGGCCACCGGACCTACTTACTCGCCTTGCTGATTGTCTGTTTTTACGAGTTTACAACTTTTCTAAGAACTTTTGATACAAAGGAACTTTTTAAAAAGGCATCTCCCGTTTATATTTAATCCAAAGAAGGATCTCGGGCAATTTTGGGGTTTTTGGTTTTGGCTTCGTTTTTAAGTTTTTTTTTTCCTCTTCGTTGACTTTGGGGTTTGGGTACCCCCACTGCTTCGGACTCCCGAGGACCTTCCGGGCCCCCACATTAATGAGGTAGGTGCGGCGCGGGGCGCAGGGAGGGGTGAAGGCCGGAGGCCGGTGGGACGCGCCTGAGCAGCGGTCGAGAGTGGCCCCCTGACTCCTGCCTCTGTGCCCCGCCCGGCCCGCAGGCAGCCACCTGGCGAGTCTGACATGGCTGTCAGCGACGCACTGCTCCCGTCCTTCTCCACGTTCGCGTCCGGCCCGGCGGGAAGGGAGAAGACACTGCGTCCAGCAGGTGCCCCGAATAACGTGAGTATTGCCGCGAAAGGTCGGGAACGTTCAGTGGGCTTCTGTGGGTGGGGTGAGGGCGGACGGAGCCCAGGGGTCACCCAAAACCTTATCCGGCGAGGGGAAGGAGTGGCCACCGCACTGGCCCCGCAGTCTTCCTAGGATGGCTTCCGCGCCCTTGGCTTAGTTGTACATGCGTGTGGTCCGGACACTGCGGAGCCGCCGGGGGCGCACACTCGGTCGGCACACGTCTCCTAGCTCGCAGGCGGCAGGGCTGGCGCGGGGGCCACCGGGCGGGAGGTGGATGTGTCCCTGCACACGGGCTGGGCCCGAGAGAGCTTGGCGCGTAGGCGTACCCGTGGCGAGGGCGCATAGGGAGATCCTCGGTGTCCCAATTCCAGGGGTGGCTGGAGCGTCCCCGGGATCTGGCTGGGGAAGGACCCGGGCTGCCGAGCCGCGGCCCTTGCTCACACGCCATCGGGCAGACAGAACATAACATCCTCCAAACCGACGCACCGCCTCTCCTCGGGCCCGGGGGTGGGCCGAGATTGCAGCGCTGGCACCCGGAGTACCCCGGCGCTTTATGTCTGCCCAGTCCCGGTGCCTGGGCGGTATAGGCGCGGCCGGCCCGCCGGTACGTAGTGTGGCAGCAGGGGACCAGCACCGACGGTCTCTCTCCCGTCCTGTTCCCGCAGCGCTGGCGGGAGGAGCTCTCCCACATGAAGCGACTTCCCCCGGTGCTTCCCGGCCGCCCCTATGACCTGGCGGCCGCGACCGTGGCCACCGACCT